CTGAAAACATCAGTGTGTTATCAACATTCTTCTGGTACTAAATCCAAAACACAGCACTATGCTAGCCACTATGAAGAAAATTAACTCTATCCCAGCTGAAACCAGGACAGACATCAACAGTCTGCCTTTTGTTTCCCTTGTGTTGGGCCCACACTCTTAGAGTACTGTTCCATTCTGATTCAATGATTGGGTGTATGGTGTCCCTAACCTCAGACCTTACCTCTAACCCAAAGCCAGTACCCATAACCCCTCTTCTTCTTACCCTATTGGTCACCCCAATCCCCAGCCCTTATCCCTACTATTAAAATGCCTTAACCACAGCCCTCACCCTAGGCCTAAACAAAACCTAAATCCACAAAGCTAGCCCAGACCCTAAACATGAACCAGACTCCCTCAGCAGAACACCATACCCTCCCTCTAATACTTTGCCCAATCCCTGAGCCGGACAGGTGAGCTCTATTCCCTAAACCCTACCCTGAACACCTGACCCCCAAAGCCCTCCTTCCCATGCTTTAACCCCCTCATCTTTGTCCCCTCTCCTAACCTGAACTTCAGCTGTTTGGGCCCTTGAAAGCAGGGTAGGGATCGTCACATCCCAGAGCAGTCCCACAACATTGGCAGAGGAATGTGAGGTTACATGCATCTGATCAGCTCGTAGGCTACAAGGAGAAGATAGGTGGGAATGCTATGGTGAAGTCAGCTGTGCCTCAGGATCTCATGGGCCAGCAGGAGGCACAAGGCTGTGAAGGTGGTTGTGAGGTCACATCTGTCTCTGGAGTTGATAGGCCGGTAGCAGGAGCATGGCTGGGAAAGGGACTGTGAGGTCAGCTCTTCCTGAAGCAGCTGACACATCAGCCCTTGAATCATGGTTGGGATATGAGCTTTTAGGTTCACATGTGGCAGGCCAGCAGAAGGCATGTGGCTGGCAATGTGATTGTGGGAATCCCTTTCCCGAAGTACCTGGTAGGCCCATCCAGGAAGAGGGCTTGGATATGGCTGTCATGTCCTTTCTGCTCGAGTACCTGCTGGGACAGCAGCAGCCACATGGCTTGGTTGTGTTTATCTGAGCAGCTGAAAGGCCAGGAGAAGGCATGTGGCTTGGAAGATCATGGTGAGGCTACTTCTGTCTGGTCAGCTGGTACAGCATGACTTGCAGATCCTGTCTGTAGAAGGGTTATCCCATTTTTTTCTCCCGTGAGATCTTTCAGTGTTTTCTGAGAAGAAAAAAAAAAGTTCAAGTCATCATTTCTACTGCCCCCACAAGAGGCTGTTCACACGGGAATTGGTTGTGGCAGTTCTAGATATAGGTAAGGACATGCAGGTACCTAATCTCTGGTACCAGGTGGGAACTTCCTGCAGACTTCACGCTGCAATCAAATTAATTCTGCAGTCCACAGCCAATCCTGTATCATCAGGGTAGAATAACTCCCAAACCTGAGGCCAGGCTGGGACCTGAGCAGCTCAGGAGGAGACCCTGAGGAGAAGGGCATGGCCATGACGAGGAATGCCATATGACCATTGGTGCATGCTCACCATGAATAAGGGCAACTGCACACTGGGCTTCATTAGGGGGAGCATGGCCAGCAGGGCAAGGGAGTTATATACCTTAATTAAATATTATCTGCATTGATTCAGCACTAGCGTGGCCACATCTGGACTGGTGTGTCTTCATGTGGGGCTCCCCAGTCTGGAGGACTGGGGAGGAACAGGAGAGGATCCAGAGGAGATGTGCCAGCATGGGTTTTGGGGCCTGCGTGCGGAAGCTGAGGGACCTGGGCTGCTTTAACCCAGTGAAGTGGAGGCTCAGGGCACTTTAGTAGTAGCCTGCAACTGCTTGAAGGGTGGTTTCAGAGATGATGGATCTTTTCTTGGTAGTGGGAAGAGAGGGAAACCTCCACAACATGCAGCTTGGAAGGTTCAGACTGAAGGTGAGCCCAAGGAATTCTCACTCAAAGTGTAGCCTTGTGGTGCAAGAGGTCACCCAGAGGGAGTCTGCATCAGCCTGTGGCTTTGTGTTTCAAGGAACAAACAGCAATGGGTGCAGAGACATCAGAGAAAGTCTAGAAATGCTGGTGTGAGAGCTAGGTAGGAAATAAAGATGGGTATCTACAGCCTGAAAAGAAAGAGCTGCAGGCATGGCACAATGTGGGATAGCTTGCAGTCGAGATGGCCAAGGGCTCTGTCTAGGCTGAAAGGGCACACAAGACCAAGGTGTTTGTCCCCTTGGCTAGGACAGTTGCACCTGCCACTGAGGCCACCAGGAGAAACTGGATTTGGAGGCTCTGCTCTTGGTTTCCTCCCCAGCTCTTCTTGGCCAAACCAGGATGTACTCTACAGTTTTCTTGCACTTAGCATTACTCACCCTCACACCCCACTGCCCCCAGAAAGAGCCCTGAGCCCTGCAGGAGGGACAGGATCTGCCTTCCCAGGGCCTGCAGGTCAGGGCTTAGCCTTTCTGCTGCCTAAAACTAACCAAGGATTTGACAGCGTTACAGCTGCTTGCACAGTGCCTTTGCCTCCCTGCAATCATGGCCTCCGATGAGCTGCTCTAACGAGTCCCTGGGGAGGCTTTGTCAGTAATGGCCCTCAACTGGGGCCCATTAATGCTTCAAGGTACTTTGAGATTGGCTTCTGGCTTGGACTTCCTCAGAGGTTTCTTCCATCTCTTCTCTATGTATCCGAGCTTCATGGACTCAGCCCCAAAGACACCCTGCGCTCCTGAAAATACAAAAAGCCCCAATGATCTCTGTCTCTTCCTGCCCAGGGAGGTGGTAGAGTCCTCATCCCTGGAGGTATTTAAAAGAAGGATAGGTGAGGTGCTTAGGGACATGGTTTAATGGTGGGATGGCAGGGTTAGGTTAAAGGCTGGACTCGATGATCTCAAAGGTCTTTTCCAACCAAAGTGATTCTATGATTCTATGATTCTTTAATTGTCTTCAAGTCTTCAAGACTTGTGCAGATCCTTGGAGAGGTTTTACAGTGTAGGGTGACACTCTAGGGTCAACCTTCCTCCACACCTCCCCAACCCTGCCATTGCTCTCAACAGCCCCCTGGGACTTCCATCACTCTTCCTGACATCAGACTTCTCCAGTGAAGCCTGCAGCTGCAGGTTACAGCTCCTTTGCACCATCTCTCCCTTGCTCTCCTTAGAGAACTGAAAGCACACAGGCACTGGGGGATGTTTTCCTATTGGCAAGCAGAGAAAAAGCCAAGCATGACCAAGTTCCATAAACAGAACTCACTCTGCAAGCACATGCTCAGTACAGGCTGCCTCTAATGAGGTTGCCTTTCGACAAGGGATAAGCTTAGGAGAAACATTTTAAGTAGGTGGATAAACAAAGATAGATGGAAACACAATTAAAGAGTTGGCTGCGGAGACAATTAGACTGCTGAAGGACAGGCAAACTTCTAACTCCCTGATGTCAAAGCAGCAACTGGCTGTAAAAGAGGAGAAAACTGGAGATGAATGGAAAGGGCCTTTCCCTAGGCCATCTGCATGTGAAAAGATGGCATTAGCAACTCTACTGGATTTGTCTGGGCAAGGTTTTGGTAGTGGGGTGCTACAGGGCTGGCTTCTGTTAGAAGCTTCCCCTATGTCCGATGGTGCCAGTGCCAGACAACTCCAAGATGGAGCTGCTGCTGGCCATGTCCGAGACAATCAGCAGTAGTGGTAATGCCTCTGTGATAACACCTCATGTGGCCTTTCTGGGCTGGTTACCATGGAACTTCCTATCTGGGCCAGGAATTGCATTTAACTGGTCTGTTCTCCTCAAGGCAGGCTCAGACTTGACTGGCTGAGGAGCAACCTCAAAGCAAAGGGCCTGGGCATTACAAGGGATGCCATAGCAGCCAGTGGGCTGCCAAATGTGAATGTAACCATGTGCATATTGGGCTACACTGGGAGGAGCATGGCCACCCAGGCAAGGGGAGTTGTCATCCGCCTTGCCTCAGTGCTGGTGTTGCCACATCTGGAATAGTGTGTCCTAGTGTGAGGCTCCTCAGTCTGGAGGAATGGTAAGAAACTGGAGATGATGCAGAAAAAGTCTGTCAAGATGAGGTTGGGGGCTATGTGTGTGGAGGCTGAGAGACCTGGGCTTCTTAGACCTCGTGAATTGGAAGATCTGGGGAGTGCAGTATCATGTAGGCCATCATAGCTTGGAAGTTGCTTTCAGAGGTGGTGGCACCTGGGAAAGAGCATGAGAAAGGAAAACCAGCAGAAACTGCAGTTTTGGAGGTCCAGACTGGGCATTAGGAAGAAAGAAATGTCACTTTCCTTTTGGAAAAAAAAAGTCACAAATCCCTCTAAAGACTGAAAAAAAAGTGAAAAGTGTGTTGACACTTTTCTCTGCTTTAGATCTTTGTCCTCAATTCTTCTTACTTTCATTCTTACTGACATTAGCTGACACGTGACAGGCCTATGGGCATGAAAACAAGATGATTTTGTGTCTTGCACAGAGCCCCATGTCCCAAAAGCCTTCCCTGAGCAGGACTCCTCAGTCTTTGCACAGAGCGAGTCACACTGAGTTGACCTCTCCTCACTGCTTTAGATGTTGGTTTCAATGGTCTCTGACAGCACAGGATTCATGTCCCATGAATATCTGCTCTGCTCCAGTTAGAAACACGGCCCAGCTCCACAGGATCATAAGAGAACAGAGGTTGAAGGGACATCAGGAAGTCTGCAGCCCAACATGACAGAAGCAGGGTCAGACCAAATTGTTCAAGGCTTGATTCAGTCTGAGCTTGAACATCCCCAAGGACAGGATTGCACAACCTCTCCATGTGATCTATTCCAGTAGTTTACTGAGCCCATGGGGAAAAAAATTTTTCCTTATGGACTGGTTCAACCTCTCCCCTTTCACCTTCCTCCAGTTGTCTTTTGTCCTCCCACTGTGCGCCACGGTGAAGAGCCTGGCTCTGTATTCCCCATATGCCCCTCACAGGTACTGGCAGGCTGGGATGAGGTCCCACTCAGCCTTCCCTTCTCAAGGCTGGACAAGCCCAGCTCCCTCAGCCTCTCCCCACTGGCAAAATGCTCCAGTCCCTGGCTGTCCTGGGCCCGTTGCTAAACCCGCTTCAGCTTGCCATTATCTCTCCTGAATTGGGGATGTGAAATCTGGATGGAGTATTCCAGAGAATCCCTTCCATCAATCATAGACTCATAGAATCATTTAGTTGGACCTTTAAGTAATTGAACCCAACGGTACCTGTCCACTACTAAACCCTGTCCCTAAGCACCTCGTCTACCTATCCTTTAAATACCTCTACGGATAGGGTCTTGACCACTTCCCTGGGTAACCCGTTCCCATGCCTAATAACCCTTTCAGTGAAGAATTTTTTCCTAATATCCAATCTAAACGTCCCCTGATGTAATTTGATGCCACTTCCTAGTGCTTACTGCTGGGAGAAGAGACCCAGTGCCAGCCTTGCTACAAACTCCTTTCAGGTAGTTGTAGAGGGTGATAAGATTACCCCTCAGGCTTTTTTTTCCAGGCTAAACAACCCCAATACATTCAGCTGATCCTCATAAGACTTCTGCCTCAGACCCCTCACCAGCTTCATTGCCTTGATCTCTTTTTTGTGTTTCTGGTTGTCCAGCCCAGGATGCTGGTGGCCTCCCTTGCTGACAGGGCAAATGGCTGCCTCCTGTCCAGCTCATTGACCATTTGTCCTTCTGGAATGTCCTGATGTTCCTGCCATTACGTGCTCTCCTTCTCCTTGAACCCCAGCACAGAGGCTTGGGAGATTTTTTCAGTAAAGACTCAGGCAAACCTTCACAGATACGTGGGAGGGATGCCCTTTACACCTTCTGAGTCAAGTGAGGAACCTCATATTGGGTGTGTAGTCATGGTGCTGAACAGAGACTCAGCTCCCTCCATGCTTGCCACAAACACACAGGAGGTGGGATTCCTCTGGACACAGTTCAGCTGTGCAAATATAGGCACCTGCATGTGAGCTCCTTCTCTCAGCTCCCATCCTCATCAATGGAGAGGAATGCTAGGACTGAGATGTAAATGTCTGGTGACATCTGAGGTGCCAGAGGAGGTCAAAGACATGTGCAGAGAGCTGTAGACTGAAATGGAGCAGTTCATAGAGATAGGGCAGCACCTGGGGGCATCCTCTTGGAGGCTGTTGAGAATTCCCTTTTGCCAAATGAAATGGCAGCTAATGTCCAAATGAAGGGCAGCTGAACTCGTGATGGTCAGGGAAGCTTATAGAGTTATTCACCTGAGGAGTTGCAGTCAGGTGCCATAGGGAGAGCTCAGTCTCTTCTCCTTCTGCTGGATTTACTACGTCACCACTGACCATGTTGCCAGTTGCCTCGTGTTCATCACAGAATTCAGGGCATCTACTCCATTTCCTGTTCACGTCCAGGCCCACAGAACTATATGAGATGCCAGGACTTGCAGGAAGAGCAGAGAACCTCCAGCAAGGCAATGCCCATTCAGGGCGGGTGTGTGACAGACAGCCCAGACAGCATTTCAGGGGGTGCTATTGGCTGCTTGTGTGCCATTGGCTGTTGCCATCAGTCAGAGGCATCAGTCATCAGGTGCCATCAGAGGGGCAAGGTCTGTCCCTCCTCTACCCAACAGCTGCAGGCGTTGTGTGAACATGAAGCACATCACACTGAGGTCTTTACTCACACCCATGGTGATACAGCCAAGGAACAGACCAATCATTTTCACCATCTTCCTGGAGACATCTTGTCTTCAAGTACAGCATCCTTCAAGTGCAGCAATGTTCCTTAGAAAAACTCAGTTGAGACTGGAAAGGGAAAGCACCGGTTGCTACATCAGGAACAGCTAAAGAACAAATAGAGAGAATGTGGGACCACTACTGAATTTAGAAAGAGTAGGTGTAGATAGATGTCCTGATTTTGTCCGGGTTAGAGCTAATTTTCTTCCTAGTAGCTGGCACAGTGCTGTGTTTTGGATTTAGGTTGAGAAGAATGGTGATAACTCACTGAAGTTTTAGTTTTTGCTAAGTAGTGCTTAGACTAATCAAGGATTTTTTTTCAGCTTCCCCTGCTCTGACAGGGGCACAAGAAGCTGGAAGGGGGCACAGATGAGACAGATGCCCCCAACTGGCCCAAGGGCTATTCCAGATAATATGACATCATGCTCAGTATATAAGCTGTGGGAAGAAATAAGGGCAGGACATTCGGAGTGATGGTGTTTGTCTTCCCATTACGCATGATGGAGCCCTGCTTTCCTGGGGATGACTGAGCACCTGGCTGCCGATGGGAAGTGGTGAATGAATTCCTTTTTTGTCTTTGCTTGAGCATGCGGCCCTTGCTTTACTCATTAAAGTGTCTTTATCTCAACCCACATGTTTTCTTGCTTTTACTCTTCCAATTCTCCTACCCATCACACTGGGAGGGAGTGAGCGAGTGGCTCTGTGGTGCTTAGTTGTTGGCTGGCATTAAATCACAACATGGGTGTTGTTCCTGGTGTCACACATAGAAATGTCAGGTTTCTGTGAGGTGCCCACATCTGATTTTGCCTTGCACACTCCATATACACACAGGGATGCTCAGAGACTCAAGTCTTTCCCTTGCACACGCAGAGGCAGCGCACTGCAGCAGTCAAGGTTTCTTGCTGGTCTCCTGCTGGCATTCTGAGAGGCTGGAGGCACCTCAGCCCTGTGGTGTATAGCCCTGCTCTTCACTCATCTGCAGTGCTTCAAGGCATGAAGAATGAACATGGGGACTTTGGTTCAAGGAAGCACATCCAAGTGCTGCATTCAGGTGGTCTCCCAGGGGTCATTACTTTCAAAGTGAATTGACCTCAAGCCACACTCTGTCCCACAGGCCTTCATGGTACCTGTAGGAATAGCTGATGGCAGTTGTGCTCACTTGGGTTCACCTCACCACCCGCACACAATGTGTACACTTATATCTCATCTGTACAATGCAAACATGGCCTTCTGACCTAGTCATGTTGTGTCCCTCCGTGGAGAGAAGGACAACCTCTCTGAGCTGGGGTGAGAGGCTGGTGCTGGGAATGGTGGTTGTTATTGGGTGCTCTGTGATGATTGCCTTTGGGCAGCTTCCATGGGAAGTCCAGTGAACCCAGGCAGAGACATGACCCTGCTCTGCTGCTCCTTCATGTCTCTCCCAGCAGACCTGGTTGTGTGAGACACTGCTGTGTGCCCCTACCCTGCACACTCACACACTTTAGCTGTACATTGCTGTTTCCCTTTTGCCAGCACTTCTGAGCCCAGACGTCCCAGTCCCTTCCCAGCTCTCCCCACTCCTCTGCCCTCTCCCCAGATGAGCAGAGCAGCCCAGTCTGGTCTGGCCCCACAGCAAGGAGGAAATGGAGGTTGGTGTTAGTGTCTCTCCTGCTGTCGTGTCCTGCAGATCCCACCCCAGGAGCCTGCAGCACTCTGTGCCAGCTTCACTCCCCAGGAAAAAATAGAGTCCTGGCCCCAGGGCTCCTCTGGCAGCTCCTGATGCCCCAGCCACAGGGCAGCTGCCCTTGAGCTGGCACCCACAGCCAGGTGTTTCTCTTTCCATGTCTCACTTGCGCACACACAGTTCCCTGCCTTCTTCCAGGTAATCCCATCTCCCCACAGAGCCTTTCCCCAAGCTCAGCTGGCCCAGCTGGCCATTCCTGCACCCTGTCCTCATGCTCCCCACAGCCCCTGAAGCTGGCACTGCTGCTCTGTACA